TACGTACGTACGTACGTACGTACGTACGTACGTACGTACGTACGTACGTACGTACGTACGTACGTACGTACGTCGTACTCGTCTACTCTCTCTCTCTCTCTCTCTCTCTCTCTCTCTCTCTCTCTCTCTCTCTCTCTCTCTCTCTCTCTCTCTCTCTCTCTCTCTCTCTCTCTCTCTCTCTCAGGGACATGCCTGTTAATGAATATCGGTCTTTGGTGAGATTAGCATTTGCATGCATACAAATACAAAAGATGTTTATAAATGCACTAACAGAAAACCAAATGAATTATTGAATTTGATCCAAAATTCAGTATTGATGAATAATAACCATGTAATTATGAGAATGAGATTCACTGGTAGTTCAGTATTTTTTGAGATGGATAAAATTCAATCTAGTTTTAATGCTAATTTGATTCCCTTCACAGGTTGCCTGAAAGGCCAATTGAGAGTGATATTGGTTTTGTGACAACACCAGACAAGAAGATGGATATAGCCACAATTGCATGGGAAGTATTCAGACTTCTACCTATATGGGCAACATTCCTAATGTTTGCAGTCATCCTTCAACAACCCTCCACCTTCTTCACAAAACAAGGAAGCACAATGAAGAGAAACATTGGGGAGAAATTTCAAATCCCTCCGGCTGCACTTCAGAGCACCATAAATCTTTGCATAATAATGCTCATGCCTATATACGATTCAATACTCATCCCGATCCTAAAAATCATCACTCAAGATGATAAAGGCATCGATACATTACAAAGAATAGGCATTGGCATGTTTTTCTCGATCACTTCGATGATCATCGCGGCACTTACAGAGTCCAAGAGGCTTCACAGTGTGCATCCAATCAACATCTGCTGGTTGCTACCACAGTATGTTCTATTGGGTGTCTCTGATGTTTTTATGGTCGTGGGGATTCAGGAGTTCTTTTACAGTCAAGTATCGGGTGGAATGAAAACCATGGGGATTGCTCTGTATCTTAGTGTGTTCGGGGTTGGTGGCTATCTTAGTGCTATCTTAATTTCACTTGTCGAAATGCTGACAACCATGAATGGGGCAAGTAGTAGCTGGTTCTCAGACAATTTGAGCAAAGCTCGACTCGACTGTTATTACGGGCTTCTAGCTGTACTAAGCATCATGAGCATGATCCTATTTGTAAACATAGCTGGCCATTACAAGGATGATAAGATAGATTCCCCAAATACAACCATGAAATGAAAAATATCAGTAACATCATGTTTCACCATCACATATTCCATTGAAGGTTTTATCTTGTAAATACTTGTAAAAAGTAGCAGGAATTACTACGGGAATTTGAGTAAGATGAATTTGAGCAATATAGCACATACACAAGATTTTAAAAAATGTTCAAGGTTATTAGTTTTGTGTTCCACAAAATATGAGAGTGATTAAGGCATGTTTTTGGTTTTTAGGGTTGGAGCATGTTTTTGGTTTTTAGGGTTGGGGCATGTTTTTGGTTTTTAGGATTGGGGAGAAAGAGGATGGCAGGCTTTTAGTAATTCAGTGGGGAAGACAGGCCTTACCCATTTTTTCAAATAATTTAGGAGTTAGTTTTTTTTTAAGATGTTAATGAGGTGGAGCCAGTGAGATTGGAAACCACAACATGATAACTAGGGTGAAAGCAAAACACATGTGGATGAGATCAGGGTTTTCCAGGAGTGAGAGATAGAGAGAAGGGCTATTGGTGCTCCTTAATTTTTTATTTATGTGTAGCTAAGTATTTTCCTCTAATTTATATTTATTATAGCTAACTATGCATTCTTTCAAATTAGATACTCTGTTTCAAACAAACAAAAGAGATTTACCTTACAAAAAGAGTTGATACGAGCTTCTAAATGCAACTTAAAGGGAAAAAGGGAGATCTTACTAGTAGAAAATTCTTCCTGAAAATGCCTTGTCAAGGCCTTCTCTCTGTAGTTGACGCAGGATGAGGCGATGCCGCAGGGAATCACTCAGCCATTGGGAAGAAGGGGAAGGAGGAGGGGGGTTCCAAGGGAGGGAGCGGGGTGCGGAATCAGTCACGCTGAGTAGGAGGAATCAATCGATTCTAAGGACTTATTCGACTCCAAATTACTGCAAAGAATTGCTTACAACACATTCAAAAATTGTCATTATAAGCTCAAAACCTAATTCTAGATCTTATTAAGTGCCTATATTTTGAAGGTCCAAAACCTACCTTGGAGCCACAACATTGGCTTAAACACTAAAATTAAACCCATCGTACATAGAACAATTACTCCCATGCAATCATATTTTCTATACATCCTTTTTCTGATACAAAATGCATCGACTCTTATGCAATCTTCATGCAAGAGCCCTATTTCCCAAATGCACTTTTCCATAGCACAATACATCAAATTTAAATCTAACTGCAACCACATTCCAATTCACATCCATGCAGTGACTAGGCATCCACCTTGGTGTTGACTTGGCACTACAATCATTAACCCCTTCTTGAAAAGAACTCGACCTCGAATTTTAGAAATCTTAACCAAGCTCATGTCATGCTCAATATGAACCTTCGACTCTGGGTTAGGTAGTTGATGGAGTAATCGTGCTACTCGTTATGGATCTCTCTCTAGTGTCCACAATTCAAGAATTGGTTCGCAGTCATATAGTATTTCTCGATTGCATCTTCTTCATCAAAGATAGGTGGTTTGTCCCAATTGAAAATTATTTCCACAATGAACTTGAAGATGAGAATGGCCATCCTAACTCATCCACAAGGTTTTGGCAATGCTCTAGGACTTGAATCATCCTAATTTCTTGGTCATCAAAGCCTACTCTGATACCAACTTGATAAAGGTCGTGCCTGCAAATTGTTGTTGGGAATCACTCAACCAATAAAAGAGGGGTAGAATCAGGCATGCTAGGTAGGAGGAATCACTCGACTCCAAATTACAGTAGAGAATTGCTTACAAACACATAAAATTTTCGTTCAAAATTCGTCACTATATTTTCAACCCATACACAGCACCTTTTATAGACTCAAAGGGTAATATTCCTGCTTGAACCAGCATGACAAGAGAGCATGCACAAACAGCTCTTAATGAGTATGTGAACTTTCCAGTGGACCTTGTATCTACATTTTATGTGGACTGGAACCACATGAAGTGGGAACCATTCTATCTCAATTGCCAACTTTACTCCAACTTGTTTGCGGTAGTACCAAGGGGAAAAAGGAAAACAAATGGATATGTTCATGTGCTTGAAAAACAACGCCTTAAGAATTAACAAAGACTGAACAATTTTTGAATGGTGGATCTAACTTGTAAGAACTCAAAAGAAATTTCAAATTGAAATATCATCCTTTTTATTTTTTTGAGAGAGAGAAAATTGAAATATCATCCTATATAGGTCTTTTACTTGATGGAATAAATGCGTAGTATGCTCATGTGTGCATAGAAATAAGAGATATTAGAGTGATAGGCAAATCATTGCGAGGTAATAGAAACCAAATTCAAACAACATAAAAAGTGTATTACTCTTTTTTTTTGTGAAGAGACTGTAACAAAATAGGAAAGTGTATAATGTATATTGCATGTAATAAGATAGTAAAGCATATATTACACCGTATTATCATTATATATACAATGAAAGAATCACCACAACAATTATATAGGGCATAATTATTTTGGAAAACGCTTCTATGCTTCCCCTACAGCATAGAAGTTTTATCCTCCCCCTACCAACCAGCCGTCCAATTTTGATCAAGAGAGCCACTCACCGTTTGATCTTAGATCTGATGTCTCAAAGCATTTTATTTTTAGTTTTTTTTTATACAAATTGTATGAATATGAAATTTGGTACGTACCATCTTCTCATTGGGGCGCACCTATAAAAAATATTAAAAATATTTTTTCGATAAAATATAATGACCAAAATACCCCTTTAATCTTTCAGGGGTATTTTGGTTATTTTATTTTATTGAAAATATTTTTTTTATATTTTTTGCTAGTGCGAGTTTAATAGAGGAATGGACGTCCAAAATTTGGAGTCAAAATAATTTACAAAAAAAAATAAAAATAAACTAGTATAGAGACGTGACATTACGATTGGGGCAATCTTAGCCCTCCATTCAGAATGGACGGTTGAATAACAGGGAAGATAAAACTTCTATGTTGTAGGGGAAGCATAAAAAGCTTGCCCAATTATTTTATCAAAGAGTTATTCTCTCTCTTTAAAATTTCTTCTGAGAGCAATCATCGATCCCAACATCAACTTCGTTAGTTATTCCTCTATTGAAGGTACGTCTCTCTCTCTCTCTAGGCTTCATATTTCCTTTTGCGGATCTTGTCTTGAATTTTTTCCTTTTTCTTTTGCCTTCATTGATTGTATGCAAGAGTCCAGCCATCGTCAAGTTTTTGCAAACGGAATTTGGTCTTGGTTGCAAACTTTTGCATACAAAATTTCGATCTTTTTTGCAAACCAATTTCATCTTTTGCTCTCTTGCATCTAAATATCCGTTCAAGCCTCTTTACATTTTTTTTTTTTTTACTATCTTCGTCTCTTTCCCTAACTTTCACTAACATCAAACTCTCTCTCCATCTTCATCCCGTCCTTTATTAATATATATTAAAACCCACTTCTTCTTTCATCAAACTATTTTTTTTTTTTATCACTTTCTTTTACATACCTAATTTCTCCCCAAAAAAAAAGAAAAAAAACAAAAAAACCTTTTAAATCCTCTCTCATCAAACACCTCTTCGCTCCAATGGATGCTACATCATCATTAAACAAATATTCCTATCCCTCAACCCTTAATATAGGAAACTTTGTTTCTATTAAGTTAACATAGAACAACTATTTATTATGAAAAACTTAAATGCTCTATCTCATTGAGAGTTAGGAACTTTTTGGATTCATTAATAATGATTGCCCTACACCAAGTCAAAAGATTCCTCTCCCCATGGTAAAAGTGAAAAATGTTTTATCCTTGTTGTTGGTCTTAAGACTTTTGCAAAATTTTGAAAATGCATGAAGAATGCCTTTGTAGGTAATTCTCAAACTAGGGAGTTTCAACTTACCTAGCCACTCCAACTCTGTAAAAATAACATTCGACCCTATCGTAATACATATGCAAATTCAATAGTATTTGTGATAATTTAACTGTTATTGGCAAACTTGTACTAGATGAAAATAAGGTATTTCGGCTTCTTAATGGACTTGGTCCAAACTATAAGAGTTCTGCTACCAATATGCTAGGGCCCCGATTCATTCCTTATGAAATTATACCACTTCTTCAAAACCACGAGATTAGAAATAAGTTTCATGTCTCTGAAGAATGCTTATATCCAAATCATAATATGACTTTTGCTGGACAACAGAGAAATTTTGGACCTAACAGAGGTACTAGAAATTATAGAGGTAGAGGCATATATAACTTTGGTTGTCAACACTATTTCAATTCTCTTGGGCACGGATTTGCTCAAACATGCAAGAACAATAATGGAGGACGTGGTATGCCTTAGAGAAACCAAGAAAGTGGTGGTACACCTATACAACATTTGGATCAAAGGTTCCATTAAGATTCACAAATGCAGCGATCAGCTCAGACACCCAAACAAAATGTCAAATTTGTAAAAAAATTTGGACATACTACATTAAAGTGTTGGCAACGATTCAATCATATGTATACAAAAAAGATATTTCTCAAGCTCTCGCTGAAGTAACTACATCAAATTCCCTAGACTCAGAATAGTTCCCAAACACTGGTACCTCAACTCATATGACAGGAGACCCAGGTAATAAAATCTTTACTCTTATAGTGGTAAAGATATATTTATAGTTGGTAATAGTGAGCAATTGACTATTTCATATGTTGGTAATACAAATATTAATGTTGGGTCTAAAAAATTTAATGTTTCTAATGTTCTTTTGGTATTGAAGATGAAAAATAGTTTACTATCGGTTAGCCAGTTTACAAAAGATTTTCTTTGTATTTTTTAGTTATCATCAAATGGTTTTTGGATTTAAGGAAATGAGCACCAGGAGAACTCTGCCTAGTGGGAGTAGAAAAGGCAGACTTTATGTAATTGAGGATGTAAATAAAGCTTTATTCTCTAATCGAAATAAGAGAACATCAGAAGATATGTGGCATCAACGACTCGCACATCTTCAAAATAAAACAATTTGTTACTTAGAATCTAAACAGTTGATTGATGTTAATATATAGAATACATCTCATTCTATTTATGCTAGTTGTCAGATGGGAAAAAGTTGTAAACTCCCATTTATTAGTATTGATGAGACCTCTACAAAATCTATTTTTAAGATTTATTCAGATTTATAGGGGCCTTCTCCAGTT